CCAGGCTTCTCTGTCCGTGGGATTTTCCAGGCAGACTTAAGTCAAGTTGATAAAAGAGGGAGGTGCTGTGCTAAAGGCAATGGAATCAAGCTATAGATCTCTTGGTATTGTTTCTGTATTATATTTAGAGAGAGTGGCCGTCTGTCCTGGGTTGTTTAGGACTGAGTGGTTTCTTAGAATGAAGGGTATGATTATGAATTTCTACTTCTCCCTTTATATTTCTTAAAGATTGCAAGTTTTATGCTAATTATGGATGACATGGCAAATACTTAGAAATATATTAAAATAAAATCACATTTTTTTGCATTATGCTCTTTTCCTGAAATTTTAAAACTAAAATCAGTAAAGATTTAGATAATGGCTATATTTCATTCTTTAAAGTACTGTTAGTATATACTATGTATACAATATACTAATGAATTCTAAGTTAACAAATTCTAGGCATTTTACTCTTTTATTATTTGTCAGCTAATGCTTTCTGCTGAAGTAGAGAATTTATTTATATGATAAAAAAAATTGAGATGATGACTGTGTGGACATTGTTCAGAGGATGATGGTAAACATGCTGAGTTGCTCAGAGAGAGGACATTGTTCTATCATACCTTAGTGGTCTTTCTCTGAACGAGCTGAGAAGTTCCTAGATTTTTTTGAAATTTTAGTAGTATTTTGGTTCTCTTAACAAAAGCCAAGAAGAGTGGCTAGTTTTTTATTTTTTGAATTACCTTAAAAGGTACTTGTACAGAGCATTTCAACATCAGTGTTTTCATATTGTCTTTATTTGTGTGTTACACAACATGGAACTGCACAAATTAAGCCCAAGTCCTAAAAGCAGTAAGAATAAGAAGTGTAGTGTGTAGGTCAGCAGTGTGTAGAAGTCTTCAGTTATGTCAGTTACTTGGTAAAATTAATATGTAATCTTTAATAATATCTCATTTCCCAATTAGTGTCACTTGCAAATAATTCTGAGAGATGATTTCACTTGCGTCTCAGTCTAGTGCCTTTTTATCTGCATCACATCCTCTGGGAAAGGTTTCTGAAGTGACCCTCATTTTTCCTTGTGTCTTCTGCTTCTGTTTGTGATGTTTCAGAGTGACTCTTGGTTCTGTTGCTGTTCCATTATAATACAAGTTTTCTGGTGCCTGTTTCTGGTGCGTTTTCTAATCTCCTGTGATGAAGCCATTCAGATCATATACCCTAACTCTCACACATACATAATTTATACTATTCCTAGACCATTCCCTATACATGTACATGGACATACAGGTCTGCATGTCCAACTGCCTACTTGATATTTTGATTCGGATGTCTGACAGACGTTTTAAACTTAACCTGTTCTAAACTGAGAGACAGTTGGCCCTCCGTATAAAACTGAGGGTTCTACATCCATGGATCCAGCCATCTGCAGTTGGAAAATATTTGGGGGGAAAAATTCCAGAAAGTCCCAAAAAGTAAAACTTGAACTTGCCACATGCTAGCAGCTATTTATATAGCATTTTCATTGTATTTACAACTACTGACTTAGTATTAACTTTGTATTGGATATTATAAGTATCCAATACAGGTGATATAAAGTATATAGGAGGATGTACATGGGTTATATGCAAATATTGCACCATTTTAAATAAGGGACTTGAGCATCCACAGATTTTGGTATTGCTCTGGGATGGGGGTGGGGGGTGTTTTGGAACCAGTAACCTCTGGGTACCAAGGGATGATTGTAGTTACATTTCTCCCTGTAAATGAGCTTGTCCTACCGTCTTTTCCATTTCAGATGATGGCAGTTCCATCCTTCCAGGTGCTCAAAGTCCAACACTTGACTTGATTTTGATTCCTTTTTTCTTTTACCTCATACTTGGCCTATTTGGAAATTCTGTTGACCTCACTTTCAAAATATATTTAGAATTTAACTACTTCTCATCCCTCTCACTGCTCCCATCGTGGTCCAAGTTTCCATCATCTCTCCCCTGTAATATTGCTGTAACTTCTGAACTGATAGTACCCTTATCCCTCTGACCTGTTCTCAGCACAGCAGCTGGAGCAGTCCTGTTATAACGTTCTCATATATGGTACTCCCTTTCTCAGAACCATCCAGTGGCTTCCTAACTCACCCAGAATAAAACAAAAAGTCTTGACTAGGTCCCATGAAGTCCTGAAGCCGTTTACTTCTTTGACCTCATCCTCCACTCTCCTACTTGCATGTGTTCCAGTCCTCTGACCTTTTCACTGTTCTCCAGACACTCCAGGCTTGCTCCCTTCCAAGTCCTCTGCACGCGTCTTGATCTTCCTGCTCCCTGCAATACTCGTCCCCTCATGTCCTTATGGGAAGTGTCCTCATTTTATTCAGTCAACTTTGTGGTGAAGCCTCCCTAGGCCACCCTGTATAAAACTTTCTCCATCTTCCCTAACATTTTATATGTCTTCATTTCCTGCTTATTTTTCCTTAGTGTTTATACTATATGATATACAACAAAATTTTACTTGTTTATCATGCTATTGTTTATCTTTCCCACTAGACGTAACTCCCACAAGGGCAGAATTTTTGTTGTTCACTGCTCTGTTCCTCTAAAGTGATAGCTGTCTATACAGTAGGTACTGAGTGAATATTTGGGTGGGTGGATCCATGGATAGATGATAGATCAATGGTAAGAGTAGATAGTGCTTCCTTTGATTATTTTCCAGTGCCTTAGTCTGAAAAAAATACTGGGTTAATCCAATAGAATCAGGTTTATATGACACAGATATGCCTGAGCAAATACTTTAGAAAACATAGTTTGAAGTAAGTTGTTCAGAAGTTGCTTATATGCTAAGGGTTTTTTTCTGTGAGTAAAAATGAAAGGCGTACAGCTGTTCAGATGACATAGTGCTTTTAATCAACATAATTTAAGAATTATATACAGCTCTACAGTGAAATTGAGCTTACTCTTTTATTCTAAGTAGAACACCAGCTTGAGAACTTCAAATGTGACTGGCCCTGTGAAAGGAAATACTCTTGGCTATGTATATATGGTTAGAACCATTGCTTTCCTTTAGGAAGTTACTGGACAAATATAGGGACGCTGATAATTATTTGTATCAATACAGGAAGATTTTTTCAAAGATGTCTATGAAGCATTTGTAAAGTATGCCATAGTTGTCTCTGTCAGTTTCCTAACCTCCTTCAGTTTTCCAGTATTGTCTTAGTTATTTATTGATATGTAACAAATAATCCCCAAATTAAGTGGTAGAAAACAAGCGTTTAATACCGTACAGTTTCTGTGAGTGAGGAATCTGAGAACATCTAGCTGTTTCTAGTTCAAAACCTTTCCTGTGGTCAAGAGCTGGGGAAGGAGCTGCTGCTGAGGGTGTCAGGGGAGATGGAAGAGCCCCTTCCCAGCTTACGTAAGGCTTGTCAGACTGCAGTTCCTTTCCTTTTTGGGCCTTTCTACACGATCGCCTCATGACTCAGTGGCTGGTTTTCCCCGAGATGATCTGTCTGGGGGAGAGAGCGAGAGGAGAGAAAGAGACCTCAAACAAAATGGAAGTCATAGTCTTGTTACAGTCTGATTTTGGAAATGACATTTTCACTTCTGCCATATTCTCTTTATTAGAAGCAATTCAGCACATCCAGTATATGCTCAAAGAGAAGGAATTATACACCAAAAAGTGGGGATCACTGGGGTCATTTTAGAAGTTGCATGCCACAAATGTTTTAATCTCTTTCCACATGCTTGCTATCTATAATAACACGGCTATTTCAGCAATAAGAATTTGAGCACAATTACTTAATTGTTCCTAAAGCTGTATTTTTTTTTTTAAGTTTTATCAGTGAAACTGAAATGCATGAATGAGCTTAAATGGGCAACTATCGAAAAATAAATAAAGCAAATGCCTTTAGAGGCATTAGAACATAATTTAAGGCATTGTGAAATAACCTTCATTTAGGAAAGTAGCAGGGCCAAGCTTATTTTCCCTCTGGGAGTCAACAGAAACCCAAAGCAAACAACTGCAAGTTTTTTGGAGGGTGAATGCAAAACCAGTTAAGACTTCCCATTTCCTTTAAATAAGACCAAACAATAATGTCATCAGTGGGAGTTATTTGTTTTTGTTGTTGTTTTAGTTCTGATGCAGATCCACACTTGGTATTTGAAATGAAGGGAAGAGAACTAAGGACTCTTTTCTTGCCAAGGGAGACCAAAACACTTGTCTGTAGGTGACATTTAGTGTCATATTGTTTATTAAAATAGTTATTAGATAAACAGTCAGCAGTCTTTTTCCTGTTTCTTTTGGTTGATTGCAAGTTAATCATTCCAGAATTTGATCTTCTATCTTCCTGGAGACTAGTAGCTCTAGATGATATGTTTGATACTAGTGGATCCTAGGAAAGTTTTGTCTAACTTAACTTTATTGTTCTTCTCTTTGGTTTTTTGCCATTTGAGAAAAAAATTTGTTCCACTTTATTGATGTCTTTTTATAAAAGCTCTTTGCACAATGCTTGACATAAGTGCTCAGTAAACTGCTTCTTTCTTTTTGTAGAAGAAACAGACTGAATTTCTACATAGTGTTAAGTGTTTTCATGGCATGCAGAGAACTAATATTTAATAGTGCATGAGTGTTACATATTTTTATACCACTTGAATGTAAAGGATGAATAACTTCTGGCTCTCCTTTGCATTTCTAAATGATTTTTTAATCACTCCTAACCCATACTTTGAATCCTAATTGGAAGTAATTTTTCACTTGAGTAATTTTCAAAACAAAATACTTGAGTGATTTCATTTTTCTCTTTCCACCTTTGTTTTCCAAAATTAGAACAAACATTAAATAATGCCTAAGACAAGGTCTTTTTATGCGTGGAAAAGAAAATTCCTTGCAAATTATGATTATTAGCATGTGCTTTCTACTTATAAACTAATGCTGTTTTCCTTGTCCTTTTGTTTCACTGCTGCTTCAATCCTGATACACTTTGCTTCTTCCTGGTTTGGATTCTATTTGTTTGCTGCTCAATTATCCTGCATTAAAAGCTTCTTGGTGATAGCAAAGATGTCCTTGGGCCATCAAGTAAGTAGTTAAAAGTTTGAATGGCATGTTTGCAGACGTGATAATATTTTGATATTGTACTAACAAAAGGTATATGGTATTTCCGTTTTGATTATTAAGTCTTCTACTGTGTTTTCAGGCATTGAAATATAAAGAATATAAATGATCATTCAGTACCCATCTGTTGTCAGTGTCCATCTGAGATTAATAGTGTTTGTGTACTTACATCTTAATTATCTAAAGATGGATTGTTTACTTAATTATCTAATTTACCACTTAAAAATTCTTAATTCCTAAATCATGAACTAATACTTGTTTATAGTATCCTTTCTACAATCATCACAAAGCACAGATTGGACTACTTTGAGGCTGGACAAGGTATAACAAATTCACTGCCATATGAATTGAGAAATACTGTTTTATTTTTGTCAGAACTTTTATATAATAGATAATCTGGTTATGAAAAAAATTATTTTCACTTTGGTAATTTCATAAGTGAAGCCTGTTTTATCTGGGGATTAGAAGCTGTATCCTTTAAATTTATGTCGTGAAAAAGCATGTTTTTGACTAGATACTATGCTAGCTTTGGGGAACACACAATGAGTAAAACACGTGCATTGGCCTTAAGGATCATTTTATACTAGTAGGAGAGTTAGACGCGTGAATACATAATTTCAAAGCTTTGTGACATATTAAATGTACTGATGTGAATGAAACTTCAGAGATCATTTAAATAAAGCATTAGCTTTTGTAGATAAAGAGTCTGAAGCTAAGATCTTAACTATACCCAAGGAGTTAGAATTGGTTACTAGTTTAGTAGTCATCTTCTGGTTTTCAAAAATCAGAATAAAGCTATCATTTCAGTGAATTAAGTCTAACCAAATAATTAAAATATTCCTGCATTATATATCAAAGGTTTTAACTTTATTCAAGGCCCGTGTGGGAATTATATTGATTCAGGAAGTTTCCGTATTTATTCCTAAGTAATTGGTGAGATTGTTGCAAGTCAGTTCACTGCTTTGGGGCTCATTTTCCTCATTGGTTGGACCTAGCGAGATAATGGCAGCATCTCTTCTAGTTGTAAAATCCTTCGGTCTAGATCAGTTACTGTTTGTCTCTAATAATGGATGTAGTATGTTTATAATTTTGTATTCTAAAGAGAGAAGTAATTTAAAGTAATAAGCTAAAATTCCATTTTTATTCTAATTGTAACAATTCATAGTATTGAGTAGTTCATAGCATTGTTAGAGTAGTAAAATTTTAAAGTAGACCCTTCGCTGTTCACCTAAAACTACCACAACGTTAATTGGATATCCCCCAATACAAAACAAAAAACTAAAAAAAAAAATTTTGAAGTAGAAAAAGTATATGCATCCCAAAACGTTTTTGTTTTCTTGTTCAGCCTTACTTATGATACCTGGTAGATATTTTTAATGCATTTTTCAGTTACTTTAATTATCTCATGTATTTAGATGTTGACTTAGGTGAACTTACTGTCATTGCTGAACTTTAGAAATAGAATTGCATTTTTAATATCAGTTGAAGTGGTTCTTCTTAGGACCTGGGTTTTATAAATGGGGATCTTTAATTTCTACTAGAAATAGAAGACATTTATTATAGTTATATATTTTAAGCACATATGAACTAAAATATATAATGTATATTAGAGGTGAGTTTATGTTGTAATTTATATATTAGAGTTTGTGTTGCACTCTGCCAACTATTAGAAGACTGTGGCTGTGTTATTTACTATAGACCATATATCATTTTGAGTGAAATGTAATTCTATTTAGTACTTCATTAGGATCTATACTACTGAGTGAAAAAACTATAAAGATACATAGCAACATATTTAAATTACTAATGTATTTGAGAAAAGGTATACCATCTTCTCTGTAAGGGGATATTTAGGATTTCTTTTAAGAGGTTATTTATGACTTTAAAAAGCTTAACTTCTTTTTAGTAGTTTTTACTTAGATTAAGGGCAAGAACCAGACTTTGCAGCTTGTAAAATTCTCCTGACTTTGTATTGATGAGTTAAATTTGGAAAGTAAAGAATGGTAGTTACAGAATCATATCCTCCTTAAAAGTGACTGCTGGTTTGTTAATTATATTACTGTGAATGATCACAGTGTGATTAATTTCTATCTTAATATGGTATTCAGCAAAGTAGGCTGCTTTGCTTCGCTTGCTTTGCTTTGTTTTACTTTGTTATGAAGTGGGACCAGAAGAAGGCACTGTATGCTGTCTCTAGACAGGGAGGCGGTTGGTGAAATTACCAGGAACTGTTTTGGGATCCTGTAGTGATTCATTGGTCAAATATTGATCCAGGCATTTAGCAAGTATTTATTGTCAGTATTATGCCAAAGAATACAAGTGAAAAAAAGGTCACAACTTTCCCTGAGTTTATAAGCAAATGTTCTACTAGTGTGCAAATGATGCAGGGCATCAAAATGATTTTTATATTATGCAAATTTTCTGTATAGTTAATGTTTGTGAATGATGTAAGAAAAAACAAATAGAAAAATAGGCTTTCTGGTTTTTGTAAGGAAATATATTCTGTATGTTGCTATTTCTACAACTCCTCTCATTTCAAGGTTATCAAAATTATAAACAGTAATACCTCAGTCAGTAAGGAGTTAGCAAGAGGTGAATAGAACTAAATTTGCACTTGTATTTCTTTTTTTATATAGTCAAGTTATTTAAGACTTATATACGTGTGTCTTTCTGATGGAATACTAAAGCATGCTTTAATTCTGTTAGCTGTTCTCGTAATGTATCTGATATTTATTTCTCTGTTTGTCCGCACTGAGTCTTAGCTGAGGCGTGCACGCTCTTAGTTGCTTGCATGTGGGATCCAGTTTCTGACCAAGCATTGAACCCGGGCCCCCTGCTTGGGAGTGTGGAGTCTTAGCCCCTGGCCCACCAGGGGAGCCCCTTTATGGTGTGTTTAAAGTAGCCTTAAATGTACCAGTACTATGAAGGATTATATGAAGCGTGTAAATTATGCACTCAAACAGTGAGTACAGACTGAACCCACTACTCACTTAAGAACTTGAATCTCACAGATGCCCCGTGTCTGCCTGTCCTCCCAGGGTGGCGATTAATTTGTTGTTGTTTTTTCATTGCTTTCTCAAAAATATATTTCTCTGGTTATTTTTAGGTTACATATGTATTACTAGGTTTTTAATTTTACAAGAACGGTGTCATGCTGTCATCTTCTACAACTTGTTTTCTGTAGTTAATGGTGTGTTTCCAAGTTTGAGCCATGTTCCTGGGTATAGATAAAGAACATCTACTTTTACTGCTACATACTATTCCATTATATCCGTATACCACAGTATATGAATCAATATTGTTTCCAGTTTATGAATATTTATTTTGATTTTTGCCATTATGAACAGTGTTGCTGTGAACATTTTTTTTCTTGTCTTTTGGTGTACACATATAAGACTATTTCCAGGTATAAAGCTAACAGTGGAATTTTTGGACCCATTAGAATATGCTAAAATTCAATGTTATAAGACCTAAGTGGTTTTCCAAAGTGCTTGTATCATTTCATACTCTATCAGCAATGCTTATGTTGGCTCGCTGACCCTATCCTTGCCATCATTGGATAGTATCAGACTTACTAATTTTTTTCAGTTTTACTGAGTGTAAAATATTTATTTCATTGTGATCTTGATTTGGTTTTTTCCCTTATTACTAAGGAGGATCAAAATCTTTTTGTACATTTATGGGCCAATTGCATTTCCTCTTCCATGAACTAATTGTTCATGTTTTCCTACCATTTTTCTTTAATTAAAAAAATTAATTGTTGTTTAATTGACATAAAACATTGTATTAGTTTCCAGTGTGCAATGTAATGATTCCATATTTGTATATATTATGAAGTGATAATCACAGTAAATTTACTTAGCATCCATCACCATAGATGGTTGCAGAGTTTTTTTTTCCTTATGATGACAGCTTTTAAAACACACTCTCATAATAACCTACAATGGAGAAGAATCAGAAAAAGAATATAGATAGATATATAATGAGTCGCTTTGCTGCACACCTGAAACATTATAAATCAACTCTGCTTTAGTTGCCAGCCGAGCCTCAAGGGAAGCTCCCCTGGTAGCTTAGCTGGTAAAGAATCCACCTACAATGCAGGAAACCCGGTTCGATTCCTGGGTTGGGAAGATCCGCTGTGGAAGGAATAGGCTACCCACTCTAGGGATAGGCTACCCGCTCCAGTATTCTTGGGCTCAGCTAGTAAAGAATCCGCCTGCAATGTGGGAGAGCTGTGTTTGCTCTGTGGATTGGGGAGATGCCCCGGAGAAGGGAAAGCTTACCTACCCACTCCAGTATTCTGGCCTGGAGGATTCCCAGGACTGTATAGTCCATGGGGCCGCAAATAGTCGAACATAACTGAGTGACTTTCACTCTCACACTTCAATTAAAAAAAAAAATTTACTATCTTAGCATATTTCAGATATGCAGTACAGTATTAACTCTAGCTGCCATACAGTACATTACATCCACATGACTTCTTTATTTCATAACTGGGAGTTTGTACTTTTTGACCCATTTTGCACAACCACAACCCCACCCCCCTCTCTGGCAAATCACCAATTTGTTCTCTGTATCTGTGAGCTCAGTTTTATGACTGAGTTGTATCCCACTGAATACATATACACCACATTTTCTTTACCCATTCTTCCATTGACGGATATTTAGGTTGTTTCCATATCTTGGCAGTTGTAGATAATGCTGCAATGAACATGGACTGCATGTATCTTTTTCAAATTAGGGTTCTCATTTCATTTGGATAAATACCCAGAAGTAGAGCTGGTGGATCATATGGTAGTTCTGGGTTTACTCTTTGAGGAACCTCCATGCTATTTTCCATAATGCCTGTACCAGTGTACATTCCCACCAACAGTGCTTAAGGGTTGCCTTATCGCTGCATCCTCATCCATACTTATCTTTTTAATAATAGCAGTTTTACCAGGTGGGAAGTGATACTTCACTGTGCTTTTGATTTGCATTTCCCTGATGAATAGAATGTTGATCATCTTTTCATGTATACTTTGACTATTGAGCTATGAGAGTTCTTTATATGTTTTGGATATTAACCCCTTACCAGATACACTATTTGCAAGCGTTTTATGCCATTCATTGTATTGATGATTTCCTTTGCTGTGCAGAAATGTTTTAGTCTGATGTAGTTTCAATTCTTTATTTTTGCCTTTATTGTCTTTTGGTGTCAAATCTAAAAGAATCATTGCCAAGACTAATGTCAGGGAGCTCACTTCTAGTTTTCTTCTAGGAATTTTATATCTTCAGGTCTTACATTTGAGGCTTTAAGCCATTTGAGTTAATTTTTTTTGTAACAGCAAGATAGAGGTCCAGTTTGTTTCTCTTGTGTGTGGCTGTCCAGTTTTCCCAACAGTATATATTAAAGAGACTGGCCTTTTCCCTGTTGTATGTTTTTGGCTCCTTTGTCATAAATCAATTGACCATATACATGTAGGTTTATTTCTGGGCTCTCAGTTCTGTGCCATTGAGCCATGTGCCATTTATGCAAGTGCCGCAGAGTTCTGATTGCCGTGGCTTTGTAATGTGATTTAAGATCAGGAAGCATGATGCCTCTCGTTCTGTTTTTCTTCAAGATGGCTTTGGCCATTTGGGGTCTTATATGATTCCGCACAAATGTTAGAATTGTTTTTTCTGTTTTTGTAAAAAAAAAAAAAGAAATTGCCATTGGAATCTTGAGAGGGGTTGCATTGTCTGTAGATTGCTTTGGGTAGTACAGACATTTTAATGTTATTCCTCCAGTCATCATATAGTATGCCTCTCCATCTGTGTCTGTCTTCTTCAGCCTCTTTCCTCAGGGTCTCACAGTTTTCAGTGTACAGGTCTTCACCTCTTGGTTAAATTTACTCTTAGGCATTCTTTGTGATGCATTCCTGTCCCCCTATTTTTCTTTTGCCTTTTTGATCTTTTTCTAATTGATTTACAGGAATTTTTTTTAACGTATTTTGGATTCCAACTCTTCGTTAATTATATGTGTTACAAATCTTTTTTTCCCCCCAATTTCTTTTTATCTTTTGATTAGGTTAATTCTTAATCCCCCTGCCATCACCCTGTGCTTTCTTTATTGGTGAGTGTTTCATGTGTCTTTTTAAGGCAATCATTGCCTACCCCAAATTTATTTTCTCTTAAAAGTTTTCAGGTTTTACTTTTTTGCATTCATGGTTTCAGAGATTGCTCAGGCTTCTGTACAGACAATGAACTCTACCCAAGCAAGGAGCAAGATGATATAGGTCTGGAAACTATGTAGAAATATGCTGCTGTGATCAGTGGAAAGGTAATGGTGTCTTGGAACAGGGTAGTAGTTGTGGAAGTGCACAGAAGTAGGAGGATTCCAGGTAAATTTTGAAAATAAAGATATCACAGATTGATAGAGTATGAAATGTGAGAGAAAGAGAAAAATCAAAGAATATACCTAAAGTTTTCGGCCTGAGAAAGTGGAAGAGGAGAATATTGATTCCATTAACAGATGGTAGAGAGGCAAATCTGGAGGATAAACAAAATAAAGACTATTCTGGATAAATTTGAGATGTGGTGATTATAAGGCAGGCAAGTGATTTGTGAGTTTTTGAGTTTAGGAGGAGATAAAAATTTAGTAGTCATCAGTGTAGGATGCTTTTTTATTAATTTGATGAGAAAATAAATTCTTTGTAATTTTATTTAGATGATAAGTGAGAGTATTTTTGAATTTTCACTTAAAAACTTAAGGAGCTAAAATATAATTTTGAAAACTTTAGCACCATCAAAAGTATGTTAAAGATTATGTTAAATATAATTTGTGTTTAAAATGTTAAAGAAGCAATTTTCCTTGAAAGATACGGTGATTAAAAATGTCAGTCTAAGTTCTGGTTAAGTCTGAAATTACATCTAGATTGAAGACAGAATCATTCTCTCTCAGGATAAAGCTAAGGTTTTTGTAGACTGAAAGCACAGTTACATAAAAATTGAAGAACAGAGATCCTGGGGCACTGTGGACTTGCTCACTATTTGTCCTGCTCCTTCAATGAGTATTTTTTTCTTTTCTGTCCTCTCTGGAACTGGGCATCGCTTACCTCTATCAGTAGCTTGGTCAAATGGGTGAATAGAAGCCTTAAACACTATTTAGACTTATTGTTGGGGCAGCAAGCTTTTAAGTTAGAAACCAGACTTTTTAAAGAAACCAAATGGTCCTTTTTTAGAATCTTACCGGTATTAGTTTTAGGCAAGGCAATCTCTGAACCTCAAGTTCCCCCAACTTTAAAATAAGAATGACACCTACTTTCCATGAAAATTGGAAATTAGAGTAGGAATTCTAGTGCATATGAAATACTGTTTTGTGGCTCAGCTGGTAAAGAGTTCACCTGCGGTACAGGAGGCCTGGGTTCGGTCCCTGCGTCAGGAGAACTGGCGTAGGGAGTGGCACCCACTCCAGTATCCCTGCCTGGGCAGTCCCGTGGACAGAGGACCCTGGGGGCGACAGTCCACGCAGTCAGAGTCCATGCAGGCCAGGCTGGTCACAGAGCTGGGTACAACTCGGTGACGAGACCCCGCCACCACGCCATTTCATACTGCTGTTGATCGCAGTGCTTTCTCACCACCAGTGAGGTCGACTGTCTGTCGATGTGTTCACTGACCATCTGTATGTCTTCTGCACTGTCTTTTGCTTATTGCTCTGGTGGCAAATATAGAGAGTCAATAACACAGTGAAAGGTTGATAGTAAACCTTGGAGTACCTTTCATTATCAGAATATGTACTTTCATTTTTATGAGATCTGTAACTTGTGTAATTTGATGCATGCCTATAAATTCCTCTTGCATTGACAGCAAACTAAAAATAAAATATTTATTAATTATTTACTAAACTAATTTAATTTATTAAAGTATTATGAAGGTGTTGAGTTGGTAAAATGAATATAACCATTGAGGCCATGCCAGTCGTAGTTCTAGTCCATGTTGTTAACTCTGCCACTATGCTGCTGTGTAAATCTGTGCCTTAAGCACTATTTTTTTCCTTCTTTCCTTGAGCTGTGGTAGCAAACAGTGACGATACTCAGCACCTGACGCCAGGAAAGATGAGTCAGCGCCAGGGGAGAGAGGCTTTCCCAGCGCCAGCCAAAGATCTGTACCAGCCACCTTTCAGTCCGGCAAGTCCTCACACCCCGGGTATGGAATTGTACTCTTAATGTTTCTTGTTGTTATTGATGGTGGGCTGTGTGTGTGTGGTCTGTCTTGTTTTTTAGCGAGGTCTGTCCTCTGGTGGTGTATCATGACTTTTCTGCTTGACTATTTGGTTTGACAGAGGTTTATGTTTGTTTTGTTTTGGTAACCCATAATACACTTGAAATGAGCGCATTTTCCTTTGGAGTACTTAAATTCTCTTTATATTCTCTAAAATATTTGGTTAGTTTTACCATTCTTTTAATTCAGTGATTTTCAAACTTTCTGGTCTCAGGACTCCTTTAATACTGTCAAAAATTACTGAAGACCCCAAAGAACTTTTATGTGGATTAATTAGCCTGTTGATACTTACTATATTATATATTAAAACTAAAACTTTAAAAAAAATGTTTACTTTGTTTTTTGAATTAATGTATAGTTGATATACATATCAACTTAAACATATGGACTTCCCTGGTGGCTTAGTGGGTAAGTAGTCTGCCTGCAGTGTGGAAGAGCTGTGTTCAGTCCCTGGCTTGGGAAGATCCCCTGGAGAGGGAAATGGCAACCCACTCCAGTATTCTTGCCTGGATAATCCCATGGACAGAGGAGCCTGGTGGGCTACAGTCCATGGGGTCGCAAGGAGTCAGACACAACTGAGTGACTAACACTTTGTACACTTGATATATGTTATGTATGTTATAGGTGTAAGTATAGTGAGTCACAGTTTTTAAGGATTATACTCCTTTTATGTGCTGTGCTGTGCTTGGTCGCTCAGTCGTGCCCCAGTCTTTGCAACCCCATGGACTGTAGCCCGCCAGACTCCTCTGACCATGGGGATTCTCCAGGCAAGAATACTGGAGTGGGTTGCCATGCTCTCCTCCAGGGGATCTTCCCAACCCAGGGATCGAACTCAGGTGTCCCACATTGCAGGTGGATTCTTTACCATTTGATCCACCAGGGAAGCCCAATAATACTGGAGTAGGTAGCCTATCCCACTCCAGGAATCTTCCTGACTCAGGAATTGAACTGGGATCTCCTGCATTGCAGGGGGATTCTTTACCAGCTGATCTGCCAGGGAAGCCCATATTCCATTTATAGTTATTATAAAATATCAGTTACATTCTCTGTGTTGTATGATACAGCCTTGTAGCTTATTTTATACATAATAGTTTGTTTAAAATGCTTACCCTTAATTCATTTCAGATTGCAGTAATAAACTTATTACAGGCTAATATGAATAACATAGTTTTATGAAAAATAACTGACCCCCGCTCCCCACCAAAGAAAAGTTGAGTGAGAATGAGAAGAGTGGTATTCTTTTCCTTCAAGGTCCCACAGCCTTGCCCCTGTTGTCATTTTGGGCTGGATAATTCTTTGTTGAGGGGAGCTATCCTGTGCATTGCAGGATATTTAGCAGCATTCTTGACCTCTGTGCAGTAGATGCCAATAGCAATTTTCCTGGATGTGACAACTAATTAGCCCCAGATCTTGACAGATGTCCCTTGCAGGACAAAATTGTTTCTGGCTGAGAACTACTGTTTAACATTTTTTGCACATCTCTTTAATTTATGTCTAGCTTTATCAAGGATATTTGTCAGTGGAACCAACCCTCTTTTAGTGCCAGTGCGTGGCAGTGAAGAAGTCCGTGACGACTGCTCCGGTCAGCTGCCTCTGCTCTGATGTGGGCCAAGGGGCCAGTGGTCTCCTCTGGCACTGCTTTTGCGCTACTAGTGACAACGTCAGCACAGTAAAACAGTATTATGGAACTGGTTTTGACCTTGCAGACCTTTTGAAAGTGTCTTGGAAACTTCCAGTGATTATGATAATTTCTAATTCATAATTGATATATTTTATATATTGGATTCTGTTTTTTAGCTGAAGTTTATATGATCAAATGCTTTGAACTCTCCTTATCAGTTATAACTGGGGGTAAGGCATCTGCTTTTAAAACTGAGAACTTAAATTTGGTATTTAAAAGCCAATACATACTTACATTATCAAACTTTTTTAAATTAATTATTTTAATTGGAGGATACTTTACAATATTGTGATGGTTTTGCCATACATCGACATGAATCAGCCACAGGTGAGTCTTAAGTGTTATGTTACAATGTCTGCATAATTCGTCCGGTTTTGGTGTTGTTACTGTGTGAATTATCCCCTGGAGTAGGCTTTAGTTACTTCTTTTTAAATGAGTATTAACTGGTTGATTGTAAGTTACATGACCATTTTCTAATTTACTCCAGTAGAAAATGTTTTTCTAGTCAAGTATTAGATGGAAACATTTTTACATAACATTGTAAAAAAAATTGTAACATAAAATTCTGGAAGGATGCAATTTATGTGATTTTTTTTTTTTTGGTTCTATGCACCAGAATTTGACTGTAATAAATACGGTTCATCTGTTTCATGTATCTGTCTACTAGAATATTTAGAGAAATTATTTAACTTGAAATTTAATGAAACAACAAAAGGGTTAGTTACTAAAGCTTCTTGTATTTATATGCATCATGAACATTTTCAGACAAGCAGGGAGTTTGTGAGAATAATGCAGTTAACACTAATAAACCCATCGGGTAGATGTAAGAAATTATTAACCTTCTGTTGTATTTTATTTATTTGGGGGTGGGACTGGAATATTTGGAGTAAATCATAGACCTCATGATGTTCTACCCCCAAATACTTAATCCATCTCTAAAATTTAAGAATATTTTCTTACATAACCTTAAAACCTTTATTAGGTCTAACAAAATTAATGATAATTATTTAATATAACTAATACCTAGTTTTGGAGAAGGAAATGGCAGCCCACTCCAGTGCTCTTGCCTGGAAAATCCCATGGACAGAGAAGCCTGGTAGGCTACAGTCCATGGGGTCAGAAAGAGTCGGACATGACTGAGTGACTTCACTTTCTTTAATACCTCAGTTCAGTTCAGTCGCTCAGTCATGTCCGACTCTGCAACCCCATGAATTGCAGCACGCCAGGCCTCCCTATCCATCACCAACTCCCGGAGTTTACTCAAACTCATGCCCATCGAGTCGGTGATGTCATCCAGCCATCTCATCCTCAGTCGTCCCCTTCTCTTCCTGCCCCCAATCCCTCCCAGCATCAGGATCTTTTCCAGTGAATCAACTCTTCGCATGAGGTGGCCAAAGTATTGGAGTTTCAGCTTCAGCGTCAGTCCTTCTATTGAACACCCAAGACTGATCTCCTTCAGGATGGACTGGTTGGATCTCCTTTCAGTGCAAAGGACTCTCAAGAGTCTTCTCCAATACCACAGTTCAAAAGCATCAATTTTTCGGCGCTCAGCTTTCTTCACAGTCCAACTGTCACATCCATACACGACCACTGGAAAAACCATAGCCATGACTAGATGGACCTTTGTTGGCAAAGTAATGTCTCTGCTTTTATATATGCTATCTAGGTTGGTCATAACTTTCCTTCCAAGGAGTAAGTGTCTTTTAATTTCATGGCTGCAATCACCATCTGCAGTGATTTTGGAGCCCCCCAAAAATAAAGTCAGTCACTGTTTCCACTGTTTCCCCATCTATTTGCCATGAAGTGTTGGGGCCAGATGCCATGATGTTAGTTTTCTGAATGTTGAGCTTTAAGCCAACTTTTTCCCTCCCCTCTTTTGCTTTCATCAAGAGGCTTTTTAGTTTCTCTTCACTTTCTGCCATAAGGGTGGTATCATCTGCATATCTGAGGTTATTGATATTTCTCCCGGCAATCTTTTTTTTTTTTTTTTTTAACACTCTCTTTAAAATTTATTTACTCTATTACAATAATATAACCACTGGGTTACTTCTATTTACAGAATAAAATTTGACTTTAAAATAAAATCTAATTGGCCTCATATGACACATGTAATGCCTGTCAAATTAAAAGTTAAAAGAGATCACTATTCAAAAGAAATCAGATAAAGCTTTGATATTATAATGATCTCAAATGTATCTTGTAAAAATTTAATGTCACTCTAAAAAATAATATATATTACTCAATTATTCTTTCATAATTTTAAGTCTGTAAACTTAAATCTTATCCCTTGGGTGGTACCTCGTCAACTACCATGAGATTAATAAAACTGACTTAATCATAAAGTTCAAGGGGGGACCGGGATGGGGAATACATGTAAAAAAAAAAAAAAAGATACACTATGGTTGTGATAAAAAAAATAAATGAATAAATAAATAAATAAATAAAAAGAAAAAAAAATTTAAAAAAAAATCATGAAGTTCACCCCTCTCCCCGGTGACTTCTATGTTTCAAGTCTTAAAAACATTATTAATTTTCACTGCCTTTGAAGAAAAGACATTTTATTGACTTGTCTGAGAAGACACAGGTGGGAGCTGCTGGGACTGCCAACAGGACACTAAGCTCCCAGACGCGCACATTCTTACAAAGTTATCGGACGGACAAGGGGCGCCTCCAGCAAGGGCACAGCGGCCTCGCTCCGCTGCTCACACACCGTGTCTTCTTGACCTGGATGCTGCTGCTGAGCTTCTCCAGCACATATTCTCCAGTGTCGTGATTGATGATCAGCACACAGTCCTTCTGGTAAGGCCGCTTGTTCCCCTTGAAAACAGTCATCGGTGGTGTGGATCCAGGGATGTGTGGCAGTGTAATTGTGACTTCATCGCCTTTGCCAACCTGAAGCTCTCCTTCACAGGAAGTGGCTATAGACGCCGGCTTAAAGTCATAACGGATGGTGTGGAAGGAGGCCCGCGGCCGCTTCTCGAAGCTCTCCCCGAGTCGCAGGCAGTGCTCCTCGCGGTCCAGCAGCGGGTTGGCCGTCCCGCTCATGGCCCCGCACGTGCCTCGCGCCCGCCCGGGCGCCCTCCTGGCGCGGCCCCGGCCCGAGCCGCCGGCGCCGGCGTCCGGGGGAGCCGCGCTCCCGGGACAGCGCTCGGGGGCGCGCGGGTAGCCGAGTCGGCGCCCCTCTCCCGGCAATCTTGATTCCAGCTTGTGCTTCTTCCAGCCCAGTGTTTCTCATGATGTACTC